ACATACCAAACCCACATGACACCATCCCTATATCTTTGTTTTATTGTTCATAAGCAAAGTTTAATTGGCGAGCGGGAGCGAGCTAACCTAGTGGTACGAACGTCGCGGATTTTCTATATCTACGACCGTACGTCGTCCAACTGCGCATGCTCCAGGATTACGCGCTTCTTTTTATCCGAAAGGATTTCAAAATTTCACATGCTGCCTGCCTGTGATGATGTCGTGCGTATACATGTTGTGCGTATAGTCCGGGGAAGATGCCCGTCGTCGTCGAAGTGAGTGGGAAAGAGAACATCGTGCCCGTGAGACTCCTGAGCAGAGAGGCTCGTCTGTATCAGCGTCGCTTTCGTGATGGGGAAGGCGCAAATTTTTACACGCTGGTGACGCTGCCTAGCTGTCATCGATGCAAAAATATAGCCAACCAAAGAACTCTCGTCATTTGCTGGCATTCGCTGCGCTCTTCGATACCTGACCGAGGCTGTCTATACCTCCTTCCAATCTTCGTGATTCTAAGGTTCAAGTTGTAGGATGGCTCGTGCAGATAGAGTCATTGTGTGCTCGCTCCCGCTCGCCAAAAATGCCATGCATTCGCCTACTAGTATGAGACAGAGATATAGGGATGGTGTCATGTGGCTTTGTGCATATTTGGTGTGTAATGACCCCTTGTTTCTTCCTTTTTGGTGCTTCAAGTCATCCCTATATCCCACTTTCATTTTGAACAAATGATTTTTCCACTAGTTTATAATTGGCGAGCGGAAGCGAGCTAACCTAGTGGTCCGAACGGCGCGATTTTTCTATATAATTATATTATATAATAATTATATATAATATATAATATAAGGTCTAAGGAAACACATAACCACCTTATCAGACTTTTCCCAAAGAAGGAAACTAGAAGTCAACACAGAAAAAACCAAAATATGTGTCTTTGGTGGGGATAGAAATTCTAACGTATTTTCACTGAACAATCATATCCTGGAAAAAGTGCAGTCTGGTTTGCAAAAAATGGAAAGTTTCATGTGGCCAAAAAGCACCTAGCCAATCAGGCAAACAAAGGAATGTTTTCATTATTGACAATACTAAAACATTTAGACAACCCCCCATCCCAGTTATACTACAGCTCTATGAAACAATGTTGAAGCCCATATTGTGTTATGGGTCTGAAATTTGGGGGTTGACTGGTGATCAACATCTAGAGAGAGTAGAGCTCCGTTTTCTCAAGCAGATACTACATTTACCAGCATCAGCACCTAACATGGCTGTTTATGGTGAGCTGGGCCAGCTCCCTGTTAACCTATGGTGGAAGGAGAGAATACTGAAGTTTTGGAACAGGATTTACTCACATGATGCTCCTGCACTACTCAAAGCAGCAAAGTACCTGTCACTGTTCCTGCTAGCTGTGGGGGGAAGTGTTGGGTTTCAAATGTGGCTACTCTCTTGAATACTGCCGGTTATGCTACTCCACTCTCAGAGTTTTGTGTTTTTGATCAAAACACGCAAAATACAATTATGTTCACATACCGTGACCAATTTATTCAAAGGTGGCATGCCAATTTAGAACGTGAACATAGCCTGACTGGACAAGGTGGAAACAAACTGAGATCGTACAGATTATTCAAGAAAGAGTTTGGCATGGAGCCCTATCTTTTGAATATAACTTCAGCAGCGCTCCGAGTTTCTATGACTCGGCTTAGAGTTGGATGCCACAGTCTGGAAATTGAACGTGGGAGGTACCACAAACCGAAGTCGGTCCCAGTGAGTCAGAGGCTCTGTCACAAGTGCAAATCTGTAGAAGATGAGAAGCATTTCCTATGCGAATGTTCAAAGTATAAAAACCTACGTAACAATCTGGAACAAGTAATACAAGCAGCGTTTCCTGGATATAAGTGGCTTTCATCAGAGCAGAAATTCGTGTACTTACTACAATCCGATAATAAGAACATAAATCATGCAGTGGCACATTTTATTCATACCGCTTTTTTACACAGCTTGACTAAAGCCTCCCTGGCTCCTCTTTGTCATAAAAATTATTATTATTATTATTATTATTATTATATATAATATGTAACCGTACGTCGTACAACTGCGCATGCTCCAGCATTACGCGCTTCTTTTTATCCGAAAGGGATTTCAACATTTTCATAATGCTGCCTGAATCGAGCGGAATCAGGGGAAACGCAACACCTCCGAAGCTATCGAGTATTGCTGCACAGTCCAGCGAGAGATTTTTTCTACATTGCCACTTGTTCCCTATTCCTGCAAGACCAATCAGATTGCCGGATTATGCCTGATTCGCGCTGTCGACTGACTGTTTTTGACTCGACTCGAATTGTCTACTGCGCTCGGGTCGTTTCGGCCTACTTGGTCCTGTGCAATGTATCTCACTGTTTTGTGCACACACAAGAGTGACTCATACGATTAGACCCCAATTGTAAGCGCGCTTCCGCTCGCCAAAAATGCCATGCATTCGCCTACTAGTAATATACGACCGACCGACCGACCGCGACCGTCATGCGCGGCTTTGTACGCGCTTCTTTTTATCCGAAATTATTTTGTTGTTTTTTTGTTGTTGTATTTTGTCTATTTGTTTGTCTGGACCTACGAGACTGCCGTCGCTCTCAACTGTGACATCGCCAATGGTACTCTCCATTCAGTACACGTCTAAAAAGCTATGCGGAGTGTACGACTCCACTTTTACACCCTACTACATTGTACGGTACCAGTCCAAAAAAATGCACCGTAGTTGTGTTACAACTCCAAAACTTAAAGGTGTTGCTATTGTATTGTACTCAGTGCTTGCATGAAGTTTTGGCCTTTTACGACCGGTACACATGTGGCGCTGGTTGGTTTAACCACTGTAGTAACATTACGTACAATCCTTGCTGTATGCTGTAGTGTTGCTACATAAGTGCATGTTATCACTGTAGGACGTGTAGCTACACCTCTCTGTACATTGTATGCACCTACTGTACATGGTTAATACATAGGTACGTACGTAGTACAGTCACATTTGGGTAGATTTTTGTTTCTCACTGTAGTTTATCTGTAGCTACACACCTCTAGAAAGGTCTTGAAACAGTTCAGGAAATACTCCCTTTTTCATGTGTACATTGTGCTGTTGTGGTTCCTACACTAAAAGCTGGAAATACGGTGCATTTTTTTGACTGGTACGTCATGACTGTCTCCTTCCACAAGTACACGGAGAATACTTCCCCGGCACTGGGGACCTCAAGGTACTCTTTATACCAAGGTTTTGCGCTATAGTATAATATACATACACTTTTCATTAGAGCAGTGTTTTACTGTAAAGATTGTGGCAATGTAGTTCTAAGGGATAAATGTTACTCAAGAAACCAAATCACATTCTTGCATTGGACTTTTTTAGTCCGATGTTTAGTAAATTTAACCCTTATGTATGTACTGACAAATTTGTCTTATGATGGGCCTTGGCCTTCCAGTAAGCATGTAATGTATCCGTCACCTATTGGTCCGTCCCATCTGGCAACGGGACATGGGGGCGGAGAAGGGGAAGTACAGTACTATGCATGTATGTACAACGTCACCTGTAACATGCTCCGTCCCATCTGGCAACTGGACGTGGGGGCGGAGAAAGGCAAGTACTGTGCAGTCAACTTCCCACTGAGAGATGGCGTTGACGACGAGAGCTACGAGATGATCTTCAAACCTGTCATGGCCAAGGTCTGCTCTTCCCTCCTTCTGCACTCTCACTCAGCCTGTCCCTCTCTCTCCCTCTTCTTCTTCTTTGCCTGCCAGTACTGCTATTTGCTATACAATACGAGACTGCCGTCGCTCTCAACTGTGACATCGCCAATGGTACTCTCCATTCAGTACACGTCTAAAAAGCAGTACCTACCCTCTGCGCTTTGTACACATGCTCTATGCTAATGTTTTGGCTGCAGGGTTTATTACAACTGCTTTGTTTTTTTAACCCTTAGCAAACCACGGACGTATGTGTATATGCCCTGAGCCTCCATAAGTGAATAAGAATTTATATATGGCTATAATACTAGGCGTTAATGTTATATACATCAATTTCTGCTAAGGAGATACCCATGGCATCCAAAGGGTGGTGGTGTCCATCACATTGTGATCACACATTTTCCTACTATATACAGTGTGTATGTACATACTGTATGTGTCTCTCTCTTGATTTATTCCCTCTCCCCCTCTCTTTATCTCTTTATTGCCTTCTTGCCTTCTCTCTCTCCTTCCCCTCTCCCCTCCTGCACCCAGAACTTCCCTACAACGACTACTTCGAGTACTATGGACCAGACTTCAAACTCCACATCAGTCCCACCAACATGACCAATCAGAACACACCTGAATACCTCAACAAGATCAAGTACGTAATATGCCTGTGGACTGAAGAAGCGCTAAACAAAGTACAAACAAAATGGCCCGGTGAAAGATTTTCCATTTGTAGTAACAGTATTGTAGGTTTAGCCGTTAAATACTACCACATACCCTAACTAACCAACTACATACAATGTACGTTTTCTCAGAGTAACATATTCTATGACGTCTCTCTCTAGAGCTCGACTGTTTGAGAACCTGAGACCCATGCAATGTACGTATGACATTACATCATTATTACATCATCTATTACGTATTTCCAACATCAATCTTATTCCTCGTGCTCCCAGTGTCCCCATGCAATGTACGTATGTCATTACATCATTCTTACATCATCTCTTACATATTTCCAACATCTATCTTATTCCTCATGCTCCCAGTGTCCCCATGCAATGTACGTATGTACAACTGATATTACATCATCCTTACATCATCTCTATCTTATTCCTCATGCTCCCAGTGTCCCCATGCAATGTTGTATGTTACTGTTGTGTACATGTATGTGGGTGAAACAGTTCACTATTTCACTACTGTACATGTTAGACTGTGTACTGTACATCTACAGCCATCCCAGAGGACATGATCCAGGACCCAGAACCAACTGAGGATGATCCTGACGAGAGGATTCCACGTGAGAACCAATCTCTCTCTCTCTTAGCATGTCTCTACAACTTGGTAACGAGGTAGAAAGAAAAGGCAAGGCAAACAAGTCAACTACACCCAGGACACCCAGGACACTTAGCATATGTACACATTATACATGTCCTCATGCTACATGATGCGACCATTTACTGTGCCTCGTAATGAACTTGTAGAACTATATGTCCCCCCCTGCAGAGCATGTCCAGGACAAGATGATAGCCAGAGAAGAGGATCTCTCTGACAGCGAGGACGAGGGAGACGGCCGACGCAACGAGAGTGTCGGTCACCACGACAACAAACGATTGCGTCTGGCCGACGAGGGGGGAGACAATAAGGCCCCTGCCGTTAACAAAATAACTACAGGTCAGAGTTTTACCAAGGAAACTGTAGGCTCTTATAAAAAGAATGTGACAGTATTATAAAGACTATATTTAGAGGATGTTGCTAAAAATAGAAACCTTACCGCATTCTTACACATTGTTTTGTTCCTTATTTAGTAGTTTAGCCTATAAAATGAAGCATTCCCTTTAAATACCCTACTTTACAAAGTGTATGCTTAGATGTCATGTGTACACTTAGGAACTCTTCTTTACGTATACATTTATGTCATACACATTATTGTAAGTTGTAGATGCCAAGTCCATGGAAACTAGAGAGTCACGGAGCCCTGAGAGCTGTCGGCATTCTAGCACAGCAATGACGCAACTAAGGGCCCCCGAGTTTGGGTGCTCTAATGCTCATAGTTTCCATGGACAAGGCAGCGTGTGCACACATCAGTGCAGCTTAAATGGCAAACGAGCCTCCCCTCCTTCCACCATTTCTTCCCTGCTATAACTGGCACTGCAGGTGGAGGGAGCATCCAGAGTCCCGTACCCCCGGAGCCATCTCCCATCACCCCCAGTCCTCTGGTCACACCACACAGCCAGGAGAGTAAGGCTGAGACTGCCCAGGAGAAGACTGGTGAGACTCAGTCGTATGTATGTCTCAACAACTTGGTAACGAGGTAGAAAGGAGAGGAAAGACAAACAAGTCAACTACAACTAGTATGTACATACATCACTGCACCCGTCCATACCAATCCTTACTCGCCTCAATTTTGGTGTCACTTAACTCATTAAGAGTGTCAATTATTTTGCATTTTTTGTAGGCACATGAATTGAAGTAGAGACAAACCAACTACTCTTAATGCTCTTACTATAGTTGGACTATGGAATAGTGTACTCTATCTCGCTGCACCCATATATCCCTATCTCACTTTAACAATCCTTACTCGCCTCAATTTTGGTGTTGCTTTAGTGCATTTTTGTAGGAACAGGAAAAGAAGTAGAGACTAACTAACTACCCTTTAGGCTATATAGTTGGACTATGGAATAGTGTATATAGTCTGAAGTGTAATTTAAACCTCTTAGAAAAGGGCAACTTCTTTATGGCAAAAGTGGAGGTGTCATTATAATTTTTTAGCAGCTACTCTACTGTATGTGTATATAGTTTTCTCATCTCTCCTCTGTTCCTGCAGCCAAGTCAGCCAGCCCGGGACCAGAGGCTGCAGACTCCAGTGAGGCCAAACCTGAGAAAGAAGGTCCTGCCACGATGGGAGAGACGGTGGAAGAGGGAGACGAGGGGGAGATGACAGGGGTGGGGGAGGAGGAGGGGGGAGGAGGGAAGGGGAAGGAAGAGAGGGAGGGGGGAGAGGGAGAGAGGGCCAAACCAATGGAGGAAACTGGGGAGCAGGCTCAGACAAGGTACAACAGTCCCACAAATCATGAAAATGTGCTTTTATCTTAGTGCGAATGTAAGACATTTTCCTGTTTACAGTGCAATAGCACAATGATCAATGTTAGCGCTAGGAAACATTCTGTGATGATGGCATGTGAGAACTAAACCTCTGCCCTTCTCAAGAAAAAATTGATGTACACTTTTCATCTTGGATCCGGAATAGCTGTAGATGATATTTTCTGTGTTGTATTCCAGTCCCCAGCCAGAAGGTGACTCAGCCCAGCAACAAGCCACACCCACCTCGTCAGAGGAGCCAATGGAACACTGACACTGTGTCTCGTGCTATGTGTTTTCAGACTCTCTCACTTCACATAGTGTCTGACTGTGTACAACCTTATTCTGTCTTACACCTACATACAAATCTGACTTTGATGTAATAATCTTTGGACAACACTTACGTACTGATTCATGGTAGCTAATTACATGCTGGTTTGTTGAAGTTGCCTATATCCTTTCTGTGTATTTATTAATTTTTCCTGAGACACGTGCGCTGCTATTGACCCTAGGTGCGCATGCAGCGAGGGGTACGGGACTTGGTTCGTGAGCGGCATGGCGTTCAGAAGTTATGGAATGAAAAAAGCTAATTTGCACAGGTTTACCTCGACTGTGCCACGATAGATACTTCACATGGTGACTATTCCTTTTTCACTTTTTATGCGAAAATGGATCTACAACACTAGTGATAAAAAATAATGAACTACAAGTTGTCAAAAGTCTTTGCACAACCTATGATCCATCAGTGCGACTCGTATGCAGTCGGCATAATAGACAACTTTATTTTACGTCATGAGGAATTTAATTATTTTTAATTGTTCCGCTCGTCGCGTCCGGAGTACTGGGAGACACCGGATGCCCGTAGAACTCAATACAAAATAGCCATTTTTTATGGGTGCGCAGGCGCGCCCGTGGAGCGGAGTATTCTTTTTAACCGAACTGTGGAAAATTAAACAACCTCGAAGGTCCAGTTGCAGCAAGAACGAAGTCGCTAGCTCTCACCGTTCCCGGGCTGTGCCGCGTCAGATTATTCGAGTTCCAGACAGTAAAAACATTATGAGCAGCGATACACTATGCCTCTCATGTCATAGCGCTCCTTGCTCGAGCAGTCCACGTCTTTTTCGGCGATGCAAACCTCTTGATCCGCCTAGACTCAGCTGAGGATCGTGTTTTGGCATCGCCTTCAGTGAAGTGTCGACTACACACTCGGTGGTGACGGTCGATGCATCGGTCAGTTCCGGAGCCGTCAGCCACCGCAGCCTCTTGGAACTCAGGGCATTAAGGCACGTCCCAGCACTGGAAACACCCAAATGCTGTATCTCCAAAAACTAAAGGGGTTACACACATCAAACCTGAACAAGTGTTTGTAAACAACAACAAACATCGACCACACCCACAAACAAGGTCACGTGATCCATAGTGGGCGTGTACCGTCCGTATTTTACGTCATTTGTTTAGACTAGCAACGGTAAGGAACTAGCCAACGAAGGAATATTTCACTTATGTCAAACAGTAAAACAAGTAGCGAAGTCATTATGTTTTGAATGGGAACTTACGAAACCTTCCCGTAGCCGTCTTATGATGGCTTTCAGGTTACCGGCTACAATTATGGCGTGGCAAATGACTCATACCTCCGCTAAACGTAAGAGCCGACCGTTCCAATCCGAGTAGGTGAAAGAGCTATCCGTCAGCTGTCTTACGAAGGCAGACTATAGCTCCTTCACTGCTCTCCACTTACCGTTGCCCGGTTTTAGTTAATCGTACAGCGCGATTGCTGCGTCTCTAGAACGAATCTGAGGTCAAAGGTGAGAACATGTGCGCATGCGCCCTCCAGCCATGCGCGCGGCGGTAAACTCAACCAGCTGACATGACAGAGCTAGAGATGCGTCAGTCTGCGCTTTTTCTATATTCATAACACTAGAAAAACATTAGGCATAGTTTTAGGAAACATGTGCACAGGTCCGTTAACTTCGACGTTGTGCGCTCACACCACCGATCGATCGACCCCCACACGTAGGTGTAAGCGCCGGCGGCGCGCGCATTACGTTTTAAAATTTCTACGTACATACGCAAATCAGCGTTTGGGGATCTCTCCGGTCGAATCTACTCGTCATCTTTACCAAAGACTCGCAATATCTCTCTGGAGGGGAAATGCTTCTGCCTGGATTCACCGCAGTCCACAACTTGCCCCCTCTCTGGATGGTGTTATTTGACTCTGTGTTGTTTTGCGTTGTTTTGTTGTTCTTTTGTGTTTTTTTGGTTTTTTTTGTTTCTTGTTGTTGATATTGTAGTTTAGCTACATGTATATACGTGTTTTTTTTA